GAACAGTTAGCATTATTATTCACGTTAGTGAGAAAGGGAAACAGATACAGAAAGGTTAATAAAGAACTGAAATGAAAAGAATCACAGATATTCAGGGTTCTGCTTCGTCTGCAGAACATTTTGACTTCCTAAATGGTTTCTATCAAGCCCAGAACAATTACAACCCTTCTTGTGTTTTCTGTAAATGCATGCATATGCACTTAAACCTCATATAGGACTAAGATTCTATTAAAAGATAACTACTTAAAAAAAGAACAATGAAGAACTCCAAGAGAACACAAAGTGAACTTCAGTGAGTGAGAGGGGGGTTGAAAATGAATTCTGATATCAAAATGCTGATGGGGGGGAGGGGGGGAGGCGCAAAGCGTGCAATCCTAAAAAGTGATGTGCTTGCACAGGACAGAATCACATAGGCCGGTAACTACGGCGGGATTTTGGGGGCTCTGCCCTCTTTCTTAAACACACAGACTCCCAAGAATTTCTCCTGTATTTTTCCTCCCAATCATCTTTAAACATTTTTAAAGGTGTGCACTCTTTTAAGCAGAGTGGGGTGCTGTAGTTGACTAATTACAGCACTGAGGAAGGGGGTTGGAGTAGGTGACCTCTAGGATCCCTTCCAACTCTGTGTCAAGAAACTGGTCTCCTTTAAGAGAGTTTTTCTGCCTAAGCTTTCTTGACTATAGAAGTCATCACCCCCACTTGCCAGCTTGTTATCAGAAATGTTGCTTAGGCTGGCAGGAGTGATTAATTTGTAGCAACTGAGAACTGTCATCTAAAGTGGTTGACAGCTTGCAATTTAGAGATCGATCTTGGTAACAGCTTTCTTTTGGCTAAATGGTTAATAGGCTAAGGGTGATCGCTAGTATAAGAACACCTATGTAGAACAGACAACTTGAGAAGACTCAGACAGAGAAGAGTAGCTGAGTCAGAATCCTGGCTTTTCTCTCTGCACTGAGAACTTCAGCCCCACCAGAGAAAAATTTGCCTCACCACAAGCCACAAAATCCCGGCTACAGGCCTGGAACCACATACGCACTGGGTGGTGTCTGACGTTTCTATCACAGTTGCTCGCACAGATGAACAGGCAACCTGCTTATTGGTTTCAGATCAGCTCTCCCTGTTCAGCCATCTGAGAAGCAACTGGCGTGCCTACTAACTTACAAGTGAACATGCAATCCCACTCCCTAGGAGCACATGCAAGCATTAGCGGGAAATCAGCTTGTCATCTGCCATAATGATCATAATGAAGAAACTGGAAACACAGCAAGAAAGCATCTGTTGTGCAGTGCTGCAGGAAGACTTGGCATCTAATGTACAAACTTCTGGCCAGTATCCAACTGCAGATCAGTAGGACTAGGGCCATGAAGGTATTTACAGAAGACTGGCACCCATTCATAGCCTCCTGGAATATGTAAACAAACCCAGAGAAAGGCTGTGATAATACTGTCAGCACTAATAAACAACATAGGCTATTTGTTTTATGGCAGAAACGTTTTGTGAATACACTTCACACTAAACTTATGGGTATACTGTTTATTTATTAAAACATTTATACCCTGCCTTCCTTGTGGTTTAAGGTGGCTATGACACTGTTCGGGATTTCTGTGTAAATGCAGAGTTAATAAATGCAGCAGAACATTTGTATTCGCTTTTAAAAAGATACTTTACTAATGAGGGAGGGTAAACTGGGAGTTGAAAGTAACAAAACAATACAGGAAAATCATCCTGTCTAGCTGCTCTATTCTACATCTTTACTTAGAGAATTCTAAACCTTGTGTCAGGACGAACTAGAGAAGAAGGACAAAGAGCAATAAAGCTGAACCCCAATGCTTACTCTGTAGTTCAATCCCCCCCCCCAAAGTGGTCCACCCCTCCAATTACCCGACTGGAGAATCCCAATGCTAACTAATTATGCATTTTGTCACCTTGCTCTGGCAGCAACTACGGACAGGGTTCCCCACTGGGTCTCTAAAGCTAAACTACCTAAGACATCAACATGCATAAACAAACAGTAGATTCTTTCATCACTACAGAGAGAGAGAACTTGCAAATCCCAACAGACACAATGAAACTTCTGGGGGGGCCAAAGATGGGCAATGCAGCAAGAACAGGCAACAACATCAGTGAGGGAAGACAATAATTCCATCCTTGAGAAGACTCAAACAGCCATCAAGCTCAGAGTTCATTCATAAGTTCAGAACAATGGGACCCCACCCCCATGGTAGGCCACTGAATAGGGACACAGGATTCTTACCTCATAAGAACATAAGAGAAGCCAGTGTTGGATCAGGCCAAAGGCCCATCCAGTCCAACACTCTGTGTCACACAGTGGCCAGAAATACCAGGTGCCATCAGGAGGTCCAGCAGTGGAGCCAGGACACTAGAAGCCCTCCCTACACTACAGATGCTAATTTCCTGCCCCCAAGCATTTCCATTCAGCTCTATCCAAGCTGATTACAATAGGCATGGTACTAACACCCCTCCCACCTTCTGGCTGGGATAAAAAGATGCGGAGATCTCCATTTCTACTTGTGTCTCACAAAGTGAGCTTGGACTCTGGAAAGCTCATAGACCCTGGAAATCTTGTGGGTCTTGAAGGTGCTACTGGACTCGGATCTAACTTTTCTGCTACAGACTAACACGGCTACCCTCTGAAACGGCCACCAAGCCTAGTGGCTGTGGGAAGAACTGCATGGCAAGAGTAACTCTGACACCTGCTGGAGAAGTCACTGCCCACCCACCCCCACCCCCGCTCTGCTCCCAAACCGGTTCAAGAAAGGGTGTTTCTGGGCAGGGGTTTCTCTAGGCTTCAGTCCACAAGACAAAATGGGTTGCATCTCAACAAATTTCTGCTGGGCTAAAAGGGAGGAGGGGACTCTTTTGGCCCTTCTAAAACATTCTGATGGGGATCATGAGACGTGTCACAGGGGACTGAGCTGCAGAGAGTTAAGGTCAAAGGTGAGAGTGTCTAATACCTCCTTGTACCAGCAGAAAAGCTGGCGGGATTCATCTGTGTTTTCCTGTGCCCCCCCCCCAGCCCATCCCCAGGGATGGAACGCCTACATTTGGAAGTCTATCTCCAGTGAAGCCTTTGAAGACCCCAGTGGTGGAGAAGTGGGATATAAACCTTTGAAATAAATAAAGCAGTATGGACGGAGGTATCTCACATTATACAGAGAGGACATGAAGAGCAAAAGGGGCATCAATGGGTGGATACCATAATACTGGTTTCCTAAGTATAGCTTACCAGCTCCATGAAGCCACCCCCCCCCCAATCATTTACAACAAGCCAGTGAGCTGGGAGAGAGAGCCAAGTTTGTCCAGAGGCCTGGTGTCCTGCAAAAGAACCCCAGCCTTCCCCATGAGGCTCCTTCTCTGCACTCAAAACCCTTGCTAGAGTTTGCAGGAGCCCTGAACAGTTGTCACTGTTGCCTAGTTACTCTCTCCAAAAAGCCCCTTAGTCCCTGGGCAAGCAGTAAGCCAGGTATGGTGGCTCCTACACTGTGGAATGGTCTGCTTGAGGCTACTAGGAAGGACTCCATGCTTCTATTGATTCACAAAACCTGCAGAATTGTTCAGGTGGGTTTTCACCTACAAGAAGCAAAGCTGCTGGTGTAATGGTTCAGCTCAGGAGGTGACTTTAGGGGATAAACTCTTTCCTACACTGACTGTCTTGCTTAAACAGATGCATTTGCATGCGCCACTGATTGTCCTGTTGCCTTAAACAGATTCATTTGCATGTATTGTTCATGTTCCTTCGACCGACCGTTGTACGATCCCAGCCTAACTGCATTTTTGTCTCACTTGGAATTTTTGCTATTAGATTTAAACAAATGGGAACCCACAAGAACTTGCGGTGGGAAGGCATCTCATCTTCAATCCCCTTCCCTGGCAGCCCACAGCCTCTCCCCTTTTCCTTTCTCTTTTTCCCACACAACAGCCAACCTACCTTTATCTGTCCCCCCATCTTCAACTCCCCCCCCCAGCAGCCTCTACCTAGGAAAACTATGGCTCAGTTCTGTGACACTGGCTGCTGGGCCAGGCCCACTTGCATGGTAGGGAATCTTCAATTTACCTCCCAGCTTCATCGATATTATTTCTTTTCTTCATGTATACCCTGCCTTTCTCCACAGCAGGGACCAAAGCACTTCACATCACCCTCCTTTTTATTCTCACAACAACTCAGTGAGGTAGGTTAGGCTAAGAGTATGTGACTGGGCATCACTTAGTGAGCTTCCATGGCAGACTGGTGATTTGAACCTGGGTCTCCCAGACCCTAGCATGAAGAGAGAGAGAGGGAGGGAGAGGTTCCAACATAACAAAAAGGGGAAAAAATGCCAATATCTTTTGCCAGTTGCTGTAGACACTCCCAGCATTAGGTGAATGCTCTGATTCCCCCTTACAAAGCCTGCATGGCAAAACACATAGGGACTTTGTACAATAAACGCATAGGGACTTTGTACAATAATAAATCAATCGACGATCACCTGGTGTGTGTTTTTTTCCTTTTTGTTCTGTTGGCACATTGCTGGGTGCAGCCCATGTGTCCTTTTTGTTCACAAGGTACAGCAGAACAGGAAAAGAGTACAGAATAAAGAAAGGGAAAGAACTCAGGGAAAACAAAGCCTCATGCTGCCTCAGTTGGCTTTCCCATGGCTGGTTCCCTCAATAAAAACATCTTCACCCGAACCACCACTCTTAATGCCACCTACTCTCTCTCGAGCTTCTCTCTGCTCATGTTTGACTGAAGCTGCTGCAGTTTGCTTTCCATTTCTTTATTGTCAAGTTCCAGCTGAACCTTCTCCAACTGCAACTCTCGCACACTTCTGAAGAGATAAAATTTAAACATATACATGAACAAGGCACGGCGCTCAGATATGGCTTTCTTATTCCATATTAAATGCCTGTAAGCAGGAAGGAAAAGAGAGACGTTATATTTCAGTGTTTACAGACCGGTCTAGGCATTGATGCCCTGAGCTGGAAAGCCCAGGCTAGCTCAATCCTGGAAGCTACATGGGGTCAACCCTGACTAGCACTTGGATGGGAGACCATTGAGGAAATCCAGGGTCACACCACACGGGTGAACAATGACAAACCCTCTCTGAATGTCTCTTGCCTTGCACAGCCAATCAGGGCACACACTTGCTGGAACCCTCTAGAACAGGGGTGTCAAATATGTGGCCCAGGGACCGGACCAGGCCCCCAGACGGCTTCTATCAGGCCTGCAGTGGAACTGGCTGTCTTCTGCTTCTTCTTCTAGTTCTGCTGCTGCTGCGTCATCGTAGGTTTGCAGCTTACAGATACACACCTGAACGGCATACTCAAGATTCCAACAGCACAGGCATTTTGATGCAATAATTCAGAGCAAGAGGTGTCGGTTACCAGACACTGTTAAATAAACGAAATATTGCAAGAGTGCTAATGTTTTGAGCATGTTTTTATTTCAAGCAAAAAAACAAACCCTTTGTTTGTGTCCTTTATAAAGTTTATATCTCCCCTACCCGGCATTACATTTTATGACACACATGGCCCGGCCCAACAAGGTCTCATTTATGTCAGATCCGGCCCTCATAACTAATGAGTTCGGCACCCCTGCCCTACGGGGTCCCCATAAACCAACTGTGACTTGATGGCATCTTCCACTATACATGTGCAGTCTGGGCCCAAGGAAGAGAACAATGTGGCTCCAGTAACTTTTATTTACACCCCTTCTGCTAAAGAGATTCAGGAGCATAAGGAGACATTATAAAGCATTAACAAAGAAGTTACTGGCACCCCAAACTCTAAAAACCATAACTTGGAAGGAAGTTCCATCAATTTTAACAGAACTAACTTCCAAGAAAGTACTTTCAAGCTTGAAGCTTTAGTGGCAATGAAGAAATAAACAATATTTTAAAGATGCATACAGAAAGCCAACAGACATCAAAGCTTCTTAGTGAAAATCACAGGAAATGAACTTACTTTGCCTTCAGTTTTACAGACATTCCCATCTTAGAACCAGGGAGTATCACAAAGTCATTGACGTTCATGATTGCCAATTTACAAAATTACAGTGATCTGTCAGTTCGTGAAGACTTGACAGCCTGATGCAAAAAAGAAAAATTAAAGTAGAAATCTGAAAACAATTGTGACTGCAACTAAGGCAATATCATAATCTATGACCAATTATTTTATAATATGGAGGATTGTGTGACTAGGGAAGTCATTTTTGAACACAAGGCAACACAGGACTGTTACAGAAACATATGTGTTACTCAGAAGTCAGCCTCACCAAGTTCAGTGGGTCTTACTCCTAGGCAAATGTCTACAGGACTCAACCCTTAAAACAATTCAATAAAAGTGTAGATTAAATTCTATTCTCTGCTGAACACAAGTAAACTTGCTACATAACCTCTTGTGTGGGTGTCATACCTCTGATAAAACTTACACTTGCTTTTGGAAGCTCACACCGCACACATTTTGGGGTTTTTTGCTGCAACTGCTCGAGTCTGGTCGACAGCCATCCGGATCGCGGGAAAAACAACAAAGCTGCCGGAGAAGAAAGACTATGCCGAAAAAAGGGTGCTGGTAGGATATCCCCTCCCCTCACTGCATTGTGGCCCTAGATAGGTATCAACTATGTTGTAGTACTCTGTGAACGGCTCTGAGACCCATTGGGGTCATGGGCGGTATATAAATCACATATAAAATAAAATAAAAAATAAACATGGTTTCTCATCTAGACTTTGTGGCTTTTTAGTATTCAATAATGCATTAATTTTGCTACCCACATCCATAGAGAGTAGACGCAGATGATGGTGCAATACTAAAAGCTGCAACTTGATGCAAAGAGTTGCCATTTTAATTCAGCCAGATGAAAGCTGTCTCTTCTGCTTATTAATGTCAGAATTATAAATACAGAAAGATCTTAAAGCTTCTAACAGTAAACATCTTTCAAGACACAACCGTTTGTTAGTGTCGCAGTCCAATAGCAAAGAGGTGACCAACTGACCAAGCAGCATGGTGTAGTGGAAGAGTGTCAGACTAGGATCTGGGAAACCCCAGTTCAAATTCCCACACAGGGTGATCTTGGGCCAGTTACCCTCTCTCTCTCAGCCGATCCACCTCATATAGCTGTTGTGAGGATGAAATGTAAGCGGGCAGAATGCTGTTGTAAGCGATGCTCCCTCCAAGCTGTGAAGTCTTGTGAGCAAAAATTCTACTTTGTAAACTAGGGTTCCCAAGTCTGTTTTGCTCCGCAGCGGGGGTCTTGTGTGCGCGCGCACGCCGCATGCACGTCAGCCGGAGGTGACGTGATGACACCGGGCACGCTGGGGGCGGGCCCACAGCCATCTGAGGGGAAAACATAGAGTGCACGCCGGGGTGGGGTTCTCCCCGGGGCCCGATTCCACGGCGGCGGAAATTGGGCCTCCAAAGTGGGGGTTTACCCACCCCCCAGGGGGACTTGGCAGCCCTACTGGAAACTCCTGGCAAAGTTGTGAGCGAGCGATTTGGCTACTGCATAAATTAGTTTGCTCTGGAGCCATCCTTCCTGAGCTAAGACAAAAATGTGTGAGCCGGAGGCTAAACAACTGTGAGCTAGCTCACACTAATTCAGCTTAGAGGGAACACTGGTTGTCAGCTACTGGGAAGAAAAATAAATAAATAAATAAAAGTGGGGTATAATGATCTAAATAATCCCTTATCTTTTACCTTAATATTTGATATACGGAATACTGGGCATTAGGGAGTTTCCTTTTGAGCTGCACAGTTTTAGTACCAATCCTGTATTAAAAATGATGTTAAATATGTTGACCATTGCAAGGTTAGTGTTTGCAAGGTACTGGAAAACCCAACAGTTTCCAAATAAATGGAAATTGTTATCTATAAAGTGTGGGACACAAAAAACATGACTATGCTGACTGTTCTGCAACAATTCAGATGAATTAAATACATGGATCAAAGCTTGTCTCCATCAATTGAAAGTTTGCAGCCTGAATTAGTTTAGTTAGTTAATATCTATGTATTTACAGTGTGTTTATGGAGAAAAGGGATTTTCGAGCTTCTATTTATGTTTATTAACTGAAGCAGTTAAAATAATTAAAATCTAAGTAAATAAAGCCACCTCTTCTGAATTTTCTTCTAAGAACATAAGAAGAGCCCTGCGGGATCAGACCAGTGGTCCACCTAGTCCAGCATCCTGTCTCACACAGTGGCCAACTGGTTCCTTGAGGTCCAACAACTGGACACAAAGGCCAAGGCCTTCCCTTGATGTTAGTCTAGTATGAAAAAATATATACAGACGTGTGCTAGATGCCCACAGAACAATACAACCACAAATGAGACTAGATTAAAGCCATAACATCATTTAGTGTCTGGTAATAAAGTACAACAACATATTCCTTCATAGAAAAGATACAAAGGTCGATAAAACGTCACATAGCAGTCTGCCTCAGACTCTCTCAATCTATATCCCTCTAACAGGCTTGTATCCTTATCCAAATTCACAAAAAAAGGTCTGCTCCAAATTCAACCAATCTGTGTCTCTCTTTCAGTCAACACTTCTGGATATCTAAGTGTTCCAGACCTCTGGTCTTTCCTCAGGAACAAATCCTATATAGGATTCTTACATTCAATCTTACATTCAAGTTGACACTTTCATTGATTTACTTCTGTTAGTCTATTTGGACAAGGTCTCCTCCTTTATTTCCAAGCGTGCTGATGCTGCTGCCAAAGTAAACTGGACCCACATTGTCAGTTATTGGGTAGGATCCAATTAGTTCTTTAGCTGGCAGAAGAGGAAAGAGGAGCCTTCTTTTAACCATCAAGAAAGGCTATGCTGGAGGTCACAGGACCTGCCCAGATAAAAGCCATGTGGGACAATGCCTGTAGTAAGGAGAAGAATTGGGCAGGATTGGGTGAAACAGCTGGCTGGGTCCAGCCCACTGTGTAACGGTTTAAAAGAAACACCTTTTGGAAATGCTGTTAATATTTTGATACAACACTGTAGTTGCTACACAACAGAAGTAGGCACAAAGGAAAACAATCTAGAGTGTTATGGCACCATAAAGGCACCTAAAAAAAAATTCTAGCACAAGCTTTTGTGCAGACCAAAACAATTCCACTTTCTGAGGCACAGATGCAGTTGCCGCTTCAGATGCTGTACTTAAAATGCAACACACACACACACACATATATATATCAACAGGTAAGGCTTTCCTGAGCAGGCAACAAGTATTATTATCTGTTCATACCTGCATATCAAGCCTACTGTTAGAGGCACAGGAGCAGGATTTGTGAAAAACTGGCAACCCCAGCTACAGAAGGAAACTATTCAACCAGTGTGGAAATATAGGGCAGACTGAACATGGTGCAAGGCCTGAAGATCTACATTCCAAACAGGGGTATGCTTCCATACCGAAGCATATTTGGTTTAAAATGTAAAGACCGCCTGCCTTTCCAGCAAGCAACTTTTGATAATCCCCTTTTCAGGCAGCAATCTTTGAAGGATCATTCTGCTCCTAAGAGAACTATAGCCGTGCACTAAACCAATTTCAGTGCAACTTTCTCCCAAGTGCACAGAACAGGACTGCAACCCTAGAAAAGCAATGCAGAAAATGATCATGAAAAAAGACAGGAGAGTACTACATATCACTGAGTGAATATGATTCAAGTTGAGAAAATCTTTGTCAGAGCGGCATTCCATACACTGGGGAATTCTCTTATTAGGCATTTTTTTTGTACTGCCATTCCTTATATTTCTCACCACATTGATATGCCAAGTTCATTCAAGCTACAGGAATGTGTTTTGCTATTTTAACTGGATATTTTAAGGGTGGTTTCCCCCCCTTTTTTTAAAAACCTGTTGTTGGCTAACTAGATATTCGAGACAGGGAAAATATGCAACCTCAATAAATTGCCAGCTTAATATAAACTGATATTTTTTAAACTAGCCCCTCTAATTGTTCTTTGATGTGCAAAAAATTGGTATAATATTTAGCTAAACAAGAGTCTTGTGACTGCTCTTCAAAGTCTAGCCCTTTTTATTCTTGAATAAGCTTTTGTGGACAAGACCTCACCAGCCTGCAAGAGATTGTGGTAGAGCAAAACGGTGCCACAAGACTCCCGTTTCTCTAGTTGTTATTAGTCACTGAGTTTTTACAAATCAAAGGGGCAGTTAAGTAAGTTTTTGTGAACTAGAACCCTTTAAATGACTACACCAGAATAAAAAGCAGTGAGTCTACCATGAGACTCTTCTTCATTTTAGCTGTGACAGAATAACAGGAGCTACCCTTCTGGGATTAAACTTCAACCCAAATCCAGTGGCACCTTTAAAGACATCCTTGTAAACTCCAATGTGTTTGATGAAGTGAACTCTGAGTTGCCACCTTCCAGGTTGGAGATTTCCCAGAAGAAAAGGGCTGCTTTGGAAAGTCGAATCCATGGCATCATACCCACTGATGTCCTTCCCCTTCCCAAACTCTGCCCTCTCCAGGCTCTTCCCCTCCATCTCCAGGAATTTCCCAGCCTAGAGTTAGCAGCATGAGCTCTGACTCATGAAAGCTCATGCTGAAACCCTGCTTTATTGTTATAGTTTTACAGACCAACATGTCTTACTTCTCTAGAATTAACAGGGTTGCCAGTTCTGGGTTAAGAAATTCCTGGAGATTTGAGGGGTGGTGGATGGGGTCTGGGGAAGGATTTCAGTGGGGTTCCCCACTAGGGTATGATGCCATGGAGTCGACCCTCCAAAGCAGCCATTGCCTCCAGGGGAACTCATCTTGGTCATCTGGAGATCAGCTCTCCCGAGTGGGAGATCTCCAGTTACCACGTGAAGGTTAACAAGCCTACGAATTAATAATATGGAGTCCATCCTACCCCCTCCCCCAAATCACACAATCGTGCAAGTAAAAAAATGTGTTAGGAGAAAGCCAAGCTAATTTTACTTATTTAGCAAACTATTTTAAGATAGAATCATAGAGTTGGAAGGGGCCGTACAGGCCATCTAGTCCAACCCCCTGCCCAGTGCAGGACCAGCCTAGAGCATCTC